ACTCCAATCGTCCGCCCTCCAAATAAATGCACAACGGTCGCTTGGGCAACAGACAATGATATCCCACGGTGGTGCAGACGAGCAAGGCCCCCGTAAGAGCCTTCATATACGCACCATACCGTGGCACGGCAATCAGTAAAAGGTTCATCAGCAGCCACGAGGCCAGCGAAGACCACAGCATTATGCTTGCAAAATATCCCGCAGCCCTGTACTGTCCGCCCCAAGAGAAGCCCTCGCGACCGAGGCTAAAGTACTCGGCCACCGTGAGTATAGGAAAAGGCAGACCACGCTGCAGCGCATGTCGATAGTTGGCGCTCATATCGGTGGCACCCTCCCACATGAAGCGCTCGTTGTAGTCGATATCCGGTGGCGTGTAGTTTCCAATGGGTATGGCTAAAAAAACACGTATCAACGCTCGTTAAAAGTGACTTTAAATTTTATAAAAACAAGACTCCACAAAAAACATCCTCCACAGTTCCTTAACAATCACAAGTCAGAATATTTCCATAACCGAAAAAAAAACCTCCAGCAATACACACACCTTCAAGATTCAACCTTCAGTTCAATTACAGACAAACTGAAACACTTCAACTAAATGATTATTTCCTGTTGAACCAGAAATGTTTTGGGTGCCACAAGGTATATGATTAATGGCACACATTCATTGTCAATAGCATTTCAGCTCCAAAAACACCTCAACTGAACGACGGCCAAAAGTGCAACAACATTCGCATAATCAATGTGCAATAAATACAATTACATTTGTGTTTCTATTTTCTGATAGCATATTTTGTTAGCAATTTTTCCGGTTTACAGGGCACGCGCTTTTGGCCCGTTTTGTATTCAGTTTTCTGTTCGGTTTTTGTTTTTTTTTTGTAACGAGAGCGTTGTTCAACAAGGTTTTGAGTATGTGAAAGAGAGAGAAACACTACCAAATGAATGAAAACGAGAAGGGACGTGTGAGACGCTTCTTACGCGTCACAACTTTCATACCCGTCACTCAGGACTACATCTAGATGTAGAAGACATCGCCAACCACTAGATATCGTTCACATTACAGAACACGTAGTAAAAAGCCTACTCAATAAAATGCATCAAAAAATTAGATCAGTTAATCGTATTTTCCAATTTATGAGATATTTAAAACAGAAATAAAATTCGTACTTTTTCCCTGCACATTCTTTGCAATAATGACCGCTAGGTTTCACATCAGATTTTTCAAAAGTGGCGCCATCTATGAAAATTTCTTGTACGCAACTTTGATGGTCACTATTTTTCTAATACAGAGCGTTAAAAACCGTGTCTTGGTTTTAACTTTTAAAAATTAGCTTTTGGCCACTGTTTCCGCAACTCCTCGCAACCAGTTCAGAATCAAAATGTCGAAATAAAAAGCCAAGTGCTGCTGTTCGACCAAGTCGGTATTCAAATCAATTTAATCTCTTCTTCTTTTCAATTTCGATATTCACCTATTAAATGTATGTTCTTCCTCTTTCTCTATCGCATTCACATATTACATGTATGTTCTATAGCAACAAGCTTCTGTGAGTATGTCGTAAATGCAACAATTCAATAGCTTAATACTACAAATTCATTTTACTTATACAAAATACTAATTGCTCCCGGCCATAAGCCCTTTGCGCTAATTCCGCGTAAACATTCGTAAACATTCGACCAAAACTGGTCATTGGGACAATAGTGCATCTGCACCTCAGATGTGTTTTGTCAAATTTTAAATTTTTTCTTCATTTGTCATCTACATCTACAACACTTCTCACACCAACACGCTCGCCGCCCTTCCCTAGACACACATACTGCTTACTCGCTGCAGAAGCAGAGGCAGCGCCCGCACACAAAAAAAAAACAAATACAAGCTGCGGGACGGGGTGGGTTAAAAGTCGGTAGAGAAATTGGCAGAGGGACGGCAAAGGCAGGGGCCGAGTGAAGCAGAAGCAGAGTGTGAATGAGAGAATGTAAAAAGAACAACAAAAGCTGCGGGACAGGGTGGGTTTAGCCACTGCAAATTAATTTCTCCATTGTGGATATAATAATGATCCGATCAGATCCCAATTTGGTGATCTGATAGATATGGCCATTTCCTACGGAATGGCGTTTTTAATTTTCTTTTATCTTCAAAACTGTAGATTTGGGAGGTTTTCGCCCTTTTGCGGGGGCGGAAGGGGACGTAGTGAAATACACTGGTTCCAGTGTCAGCATACAGAAGTCCGGAGCCAAAATTTGTTGGTCCTAGCTCTTATAGTCTTTGAGAACTAGCCGACAAACAAGACGGACAGACGGACAGACAGACATGGCTCTATCGACTCGGCTATTGATGCTGATCAAGAATATATATACTTTATGGGGTCGGAAACGCTTCCTTCTGTGCGTTACATACAACCGTTATTCCCTACAAATACAATATACCCTATTTACTCTTCGAGTACCGGGTATAATTATTATCAAGGCCATGGATGAGTTGATCTTTTGTAAGTATTTACATGGTGTTTCTGTGGAGGCCCTCCATGTATTTGAAGGTCGCCTTGTGGCAGAAGAGCCGAAGGGACGCATTGGGTGGGTGTGTATTGCTGGTGCTTGGCTTTAATTTTTTTATTGCTAGTGAAAATTGTGTTTAATAACATTTCCATTTATTGCAAAAAGAGATATCAGATATGCGGCCAAGTGGTGCACGAAAAAGCGTAATAGTTCTAAAAACAAATCAAAATGTTAACGGACTCTTTGGACCCCAAACTGGTGAATATTTGAATAATGTTTTGATTGCTACACGAACGGTTTCGCACCATATTAAATACTGACCAAACCTTAACACAACAATCAACACAATTTAAAGAACCAAAAGCGAACAACAAATTTGTATAAAATATTTTTGGACAATTCGTTTAAATGTTGTGTCTGTATTTCTGTCTGTCTGTGTGCTCACAACACAACTCAATTAATTTCCAAACAATATTCAAGTTCAAGTGTATTCACCTTTGCACTATGGGTAAAAAGACCGAGTTTTGGCATTTATGTAATTTTTTTTGGGTAAAAGATTTGAATGCGACTTAAGCTTTCTGATTCCTAAATATCCAGATAAAACAAATCTGGTTTAAGAAGATTTTTACCTAGATGCTTTGACTTGTGAAAAGGTGCGGAAAAATTGAGCAACTTGCAGCTGTAATTGTAGCTCGATTACAAAGTTTATATACAAGAAAAAATATGTAAAAAAAAGGTCGAGGTATTTAAATTAACTGTTAATACATGTTTTTGTATAGTTGTGTGTAGTTATTTAACTGCCAAATGCTTTGCTCGTGTGTCTATTTAGCTTGGTACTAACAATTGTACGTGTTTTCTGTGGAATATTACTTTTGCACAGCACACCACTGCTGGTGCACAGGTTCAAGTTACAAGTTATTAACCAAATATTATAGAATCACGTGGTGTTCATGCTTTTTGCCCGTTTTTGTCCTTTTCGAATAATTTTAAATTTTGCAGAAGCTTATGAGTTCACTCATGCAGCGCTGCTGGAGGTCTGGACCAACAACAATCGTGAATCAGACGCAATAAAATGTTATAGTTTAAAGAGTATTGACAAACACTGACTAACTAAGAAGAAACTATTACAATTCAAACGAAAATTATCCAATTTATTACTTAGTTAAACAAGTACCAATCGAAATGCAATTGTACGTTGGAGCGATTCCAATCAAATTACTTTTAACCAAACAATCATTCAATCAGTCAATCAAATATATTTTCTTAAAGTTCTAAAATGTTTTAAAGGATCTTTTATCTTTTATATACTTTTTTATACCCGGTACTCAAAGAGTAAATAGGGTATATTGTATTTGTAGGGAATAACGGTTGTATGTAACGCACAGAAGGAAGCGTTTCCGACCCCATAAAGGATATATATTCTTGATCAGCATCAATAGCCGAGTCGATTGAGCCATGTCTGTCTGTCCGTCTGTCCGTCTTGTTTGTCGGCTAGTTCTCAAAGACTATAAGAGCTAGGACCAACAAATTTTGGCTCCGGACTTCTGTATGCTGACACTGAAACCAGTGTATTTCAAAAATGAGCTACGCCCCCTTCCGCCCCCGCAAAAGGGCGAAAACCTCCCAAATCTACAGTTTTGAAGATAAAAGAAAACTAAAAACGCCATTCCGTAGGAAATGGCCATATCTATCAGATCACCATCCGATTGGATCATTATTATGGCCACAATGAAGAAGTTAATTTGCAGTGGCTAAACCCACCCCGTCCCGCAGCTTATATTTTTTTTTTGCACATTCTCTCATTCACACTCTGCTTCGCGCAGACACGTCTCTGCCTCTGCCGCGTCTCTGCCCTGACTCTGCAGTGTTTCATTATAGGGGAGGGCGGCGAACAAAAGGAGCGTGTTGGCGTGAGCAGTGTTGATGATGACAGATGAAGAAAAAATGTAAAACTTGACAAATAACCGCTAAGGTGCAGATGTAGTACTGAGTGTCGGGTATAAAAGTTGTGACGCGTAAGAAGCGTCTCACACGACCCTTCTTGTTTCTTTTATTGTTTGGCGAAAGGGAACAAAAGTAAAGGTTTGACTTAAGGTTTCTCTTCCAGTGACTAAAATACACACTCAAAATTATACATTCATACTTTAATGGGCTATGAGCTATACCTCAGTGTAAGGCTAGTTTTGTACGACTATAATGATTTTGTGGCTGGGGACAGCAGAAGCAGAGTGTGAATGAGAGAATGTGAAAAAACAAATATAAGCTGCGGGACGGGGTGGGTTTAGCCACTGCAAATTAATTTTTTCATCGTGGCTATAATAATGATCCAATCGGATCGTAATTTGTTGATCTGATAGATATAGTCATTCCCTACGGAATGGCGTTTTTAGTTTTCTTTTATCTTCAAAATTATAGATTTGGAGGGTTTTCGCCATTTTGCGGGGCGGTAGAGGGCGTGGCTCATTTTTGAAATACTCTTGTAACAGTGTGAGCATACAGCCCTCTGGATGCAAAATTTGGTGACTCTAGCATTTAGCCTCTATCTAGCATCTAGACTATTTTTGCATAAATCATTAATCTTTTATTTCGCAGTTAATAAAGGGGCTCTTCATTGGCAGTGACACGGAGTATGAGCAAACGAGAAGGGACGTGTGAGACACTTCTTACGCGTCAAAACTTTTATACCCGGCACTCAGGACTACATCTAGATGTAGAAGACATCGCCAACCACTAGATATCGTTCACATTACAGAACACGTAGTAAAAGACTACTTAATAAAACGCATCAAAAAAATTGGATCAGTTAATATTTTCCAATTTATGAGATATTTAAAACAGCAATAAAATTGGTACATTCTTGGACCGATAGGTTTCACAGCAAATTTTTCGAAAGTGGCGCCATC